TTTCAATCCCTTAACAGAGTCACTGTGCAAAAGTTTTTGTTTTTTTAGGTGAAGTTCAGTTTATCAGTTTTTCCTTTTATGGTCATACTTTTGGTGCCAAGTCTAAGAATACTTGGCCTAGTCCTAGGTTCCAGAGATTTTCTCCTATGGCTTCTATAAGGTTTGTAGTCTTCCATTTTACATTTAAATCCATGATACATTTTGAATTATTTTTTTGTACGTAATGTAAGGGTTTCGGTTAAGATTTTTTTTTTTTTTTTTTTAAAAAAAAATTACTTCTGAATGTCCCATTGTTCCAGCACTATTTATTGAAAAAGGGTATTCTTCATCTTTTATTTTTATATACCCACCATGCCATCCATTATCACACCTGACCAAATTGACAGGACTTCTGTATGTTATTTACATTTAAGGTGTCTTTTAATCCCTGGTTTATTAGTCTCAGGACCCAGTGAGGCCCACACACTGCATTTAGTCATGTCTTTGAGTCTCTGATTCTGTGACTGCCCCTCAGCCATCTTTGTTTATGAGCCACTAGTTTGTTGCGAAAACCAGGTCATTTATCCTGGAGATGGTTCTGTGGTCTGGATTTGGCTGCTGCTTCTGCGTGGCATAATTTAATCTGTTCCACTGCCCTCTGTATTTCCTGGCTGCTGGCGATTAGTTCTAGAGGCTCGTTTTGATCCCAGTTCACTTTTTGGGGAAGGGCCCTTCTTAGGTGGTGCTGTTTGCTTCCTGTGAAGCCCATCAGGAGGCTCGAAACTTCAGTCGCTCCGTTTTAGGGATGTCTTGACTGTGGGTTCACCTGTGTGGTTCACCTGTGTTCCTTGTCAAATTCCCCATCAGCCTTTCACGTGGTCGTTTTATCATTCATTGACGATCCGTACCTCCATCCATTATTTGTACTAGGAACTGTAAAATGGTCATTTTAAATTCTATTATTTTCTCTCCTTTTATTAAGGGGACTTCTGTAAAGTAGACCGACTCCCTTGTCAATTATGTAGTTACTGTGAAATATTATTAATGAGAAAACGGAGCTCTGAGACATGAAGTCATTTGCCCAAGCTTGGTTATGCCATTAAAGACGCTGCCACGTAGTCCCCGCCACTTTGAAGCCTTCCCTGACCCTCTCCCCAGCTGTGACCAAGGCAGCCGATGCTGCCTCCTGCTCTCTTCATGCTGGGCACTCACCTCTCGTGCGTGGGGTCAGGTCTCTAGGTCCCTCCTGTTGCGTGGAGCAGGGGCGTAGAGGAGCTGTGAGCGCCTCGAGGCTGAGACTGGGTCTTCCAGTGCCCAGCATAGCTTCAGGACGCATGTGCTGGAAAGGCGATTCCAGCATCTCCCCTTAGGGCTCTCTGCCTGTCCCTGGCAGAAGTTTAACATTCGATCAATTAAGAAATAGGGGGACCCCCCAGAACATCTGGGGTTCTGAGCTTCACCCTGTGCATCCTTCCCCACTCAGGGTGAACGGACTGCATTGAAAAAAGAGGGCCATGAAAGTCCTTCTCCAAACCCCTTTCCCCAGGGGAGTGAAAGAGCTGCACTAGCCAGCATCGCCCCTGCCTCCCCACCATCTGGGAGCTGTGCCAGGCCAGTGACCTGGGCAGGCAAGAGATCTTTCCCAGGTAGGTGGCTGTCTTGAATGCGAAAGGATGGGACTTACGTCCATCCCCCTGCCCCCGGCACACACACGCTGAACGGTTGGTGATTGGCAGGGCCTCGCGTTGTGTGCTGGGTCCAGGGAGCAGGGCGAGCTCTGTGCACAGCCTTCCAAGAGTCGCCATTACCTGCCTCCCTCGGGTGCCGGGGGCCACATGTCTGTGAATCAGAATGTTGCTTCAAACGCGTTGGGGGGATATTATGAAAACCCTCGAGGCACTTGGTGCTACCCCCGGGGGCCGCAAAACCAAGTTCCACATCATTTTTCTCATCTCTAAGATGGAGATAATGTTACTTACTTCAAAGCTGCTGCGAGAAGAAACTAGAGCTAACGTTTGGGAGATTGGTTTGTAAACCACAGGGTGTGGTGCAGCTATGTGGCGGGCACGGGTCAGGCCACGGAAACCTCCCAGCGACGTGGCCTCCTCTCCCCTCCCTGTGGCGGGACAGCGTGATCATGTCTGGTAGGCGGCTCTGGAGCAGAGGGCAGCTGATCCAGGCCTGGCTGGGGAACCGTGGTTACAGGACCTGGGTTTGAGCCCTGGCTCTGCTTTGGGGACAAGTTGCCCACCCTCTCTGAGTGGATTTCTTCTCGTGTCAGGTGTCACTCTGGGGTTGAGAGAGAGGCACTTGAGCGTGAAGGACAAAGCCCCAGGAAGAAGCTGGGCCTGAAGCCTGTGGCGTCACCTGTGGGCAGGGTCAGAGCTCAGCAGTTGCCCCTGGCTGGGGAGACCACTCGGGGGCCTCTCAACGGGCCTTTAGAACAGGACAGCTCGGAAGGTGAGGATTTAGGAGCCTTGTACTTCCTCCGGCCTCCCCTCTCCAGATCCCCATGTTTGTTCATTTAATTTGGGTTGATAGACAAAGATGATGATTTACAACCCAAGTCTTCTTTTTTAAGAACTGTTTCTGGCACTGGTTTTCAATTTTGCAACCATACTTACAGGAGCTATTCTTAGAGTTGTCACTGTGTCTCTTTTTCAAAGCTTGCCACCAGTCTTTATATAGACACCTCCATTTTTGAGTTTCTTTATATAGATGCCGTCTCCATTTTTGGTTTCTAATCAAGATACATCTCTTGGTCGGTATGTTAGAGATCATTTTTTTTTTTATAGGAAAAATAGAAATGTAAAGGGCTCTCCTAGGATGGAACTTAGAGCTGAGAGCAGACATGATGTAGATGGTGGCAGAGATGCTGGAGCTTCAGGAGAGGGCCGGGGCCAAGCTGGGAAGCGTGGGGAGACTGTGCGCCAAAGTCAGGCTCTGGGCCCAGGTGCACCCTGGGAAGGCCCAGGAAACCTCCCATTGACGGCAGTGTGTTCTGGCAAAGAATATCAGCTCAGACTTGGCAGGGACTGTGAGCTGCTCTTGGGGTTCAGGCTGAGCTGGTTGGGTTTTGGGGCTTGGCCATTTTCTAGGTCAGGCAGCAGAGGCCCTCTGGGGCCAAGCGAATCTGTGTGGGGACACAGGGCCGGTTGGTGGGCGATCTGGGACTTGGGCTCCGGCCAGGTTCCTTTCCATAGTGCCCATACTCCACGCTTTGCATCTGTTCAGCGGTGGTCAGCTGTTCCTCTGGTCGCGTTTCAGGTCATGCCAGAGGTTGTCATTCCAGCATGTTTAATCATTTAGTCTTCTTGGGCCTCTGCTGCAGGGAGATTCGGCGGCCCCAGGATGGCGTTGACCAACAGATGGCAGCACTGAAAGGGACACCTGTTAGGGCCTGGGGCTCGGATGTCCAGATCGCCTTGGTTACGGCTGTGTCCGGCCTTCCTGGGAGCACAGTCCAGGCCGGCTCTCTGACCGCGGTTCTAGCCTCTGGCCCCACATTGGTCCCTGTTTGTAAACTTCAGAGGAAAACCCTAACAATAGCTGTTCCTTGGGCAACATCTGGGTTACTTTTCAATGTGGAATCATTAATTCTCTAGCACAGGTACTGAAGTTGCCGTTAGGAAGGCTGGGGCTGGCATGAGAGACCGCCGGGGGCAGCAGGACAGGACCCTGGAATGCCAGCCCCTGTCCTACCCGCCCCTGTCCTTTCTTCCCCACCCAGCATCTTCACGTTAATTTCAGCTCTGTTCCTTGCTTCTCTGTGAAGCCACTCACATCACTTTGGAAATAACGAGTTAAAATCAATAGATGATAAAGTAAATCTTACAAATGGCCACGGTGCCAGGCTTGGTGCCGGGGAGTCAAAGACAGAAGTGTGGCCTTGCCTCAAGGAGCGGGCAGTCCTAGGAGGATGAACACGTGAGCAAACGACAGAACTGCGTGTTACGTGTAACAAGAACTGTGTAAAATGGGTAGACGTACGATTGAAGAACGTGTGTGGGACAGGCTTTCAGGAAGAGCGACACATGAGCTGAATTGAAAAAGACGAGCAGTTCGAAGGCACACAAAGTGGGAAAGGCCACAGCGTCTCCAAAACAGTACAGCTGGATGGCGAGGAAGGGATGTCACCCACTGTGGAAATTGGGGAGAAATGGCAAAGAAAAGGCATAAGCCCTTAGAGGAGGTGACCTTGGCAATCAAATGGTCTCACTGGACTGGGAAGGCAGAGGCATGGATCTGGCAGGAATTACTGAGCACCTGCTGGGTGCCCGGTGCTGTTCTGGGTGCTGGAGGTCCAGTCGTGAGCAGAACTGAGCCCCTAGCCTAGGGGAGCTTGTGTCTGGTGGAAGGAGACAGACAGTTAACAAATACACGAGTCAATGTCGTTTTTCAGATGGAGTCAGTAGTGAGTGCTCTGGAGAGAAATAAAGCAAGGAAGGTGGCCAGGAGCGCCTGGGGCGGGCGGGGGCAGGGTTGCCATGGTTTGGGGAACGGTCAGGGCAGAGACCTGAAGAAGTGTGGAGCGAGCCCTGCGGCTGGGCGGAGTCAAAGCTTGATGAGTCACACACAGGCCAGAGGTGGGCACAGTTCGAAGGGCGGCAGGAGGCCCCTGCGCCTGGGGCGGAGGATTAAAGTGCGCGTTGTAGGAGATGGGGTGCAGTCGGAGTGACGAGGGCCCATCACACAGACGGCAGCTCCTACTCTGAAGGAGGCAGGAGCTTTGGAGAGTTTTGAGCAAAGGAGGGGCCCAGTCTGGCCAACATCTTAGGGACTGGACAGCAAGGATGAGGACAAGCAGAGAGCCAGGTCAGGAGCCTGTTCTATTAATTCAGGGGAGACATGGTGGGGGTAGGCCAGGGTGATGGCTGGGGCCAGGGTGACGGCTGGGGCCAGGGTGACGCATGGTCAGTGTCTGGCGGCGTTTTAAAGGTGGACGTAGAACCCTGGAAGATGCTTTCCGACGCTGCCCCTCGCCCTGGGGAGAGGCTAACACTGTGATTTCCCCTCTCCAGGCCAGCTCTCCGGTCATGCCCAGGGTTCCCCCCGGGAACTCCCTGCTGCTGGGCACCATGACGGTGAGGGGGGCCGCACTGGCCCCAGATCCGGCGTTGCCCACGACCGCGGCAGCCTCGCCCAGTGTCTCCGCGACCCCCGAGGGCAGCCCCATGGCCATGGAGCAGCCTGTGTTCCTGATGACAACCGCCGCTCAGGCCATCTCCGGCTTCTTCGTCTGGACAGCCCTGCTCATCACCTGCCACCAGGTACCCAGGCCAGGCAGGAGCCCCCGAAGGCCTTCCAGAAGCATCCTGAGAGCTTTCCAGTCCAACGTAGTGTTAGTTAGGCTGGAGCAGGTGACGCTGCAATAGTAAATAGACCCAGATCTGGGTGTCACTCAGAGGTTAATTTCTTGCTCACATCCCAGCCCAGCTCAGGTCAGGTTCCATTTTGTGGCTCCAGCTTCTTACAGCTTCAAGGCATCGTCCATCTGACCGCTGTGAGGAAGGCACTCTGGGTATTCTGCCATCTAGATCCAGAAAAGACACTTGTCGCTTCTCACTTTCCATGGGTCAGAGCGGGTCACATGTCCAGCCCGAGCTGCAGGGAGCCTGGGAACTGTGCAGAGCACGTGGATGTCAGCGACCCCTTTGCAGATGAGAAAATTGAGACTCAGAGAGGGAGGCGGGAGGGGACTAAGTTAGTCACGTACAGGTCGGTGGCAGAGCTGGGATGGAAGTCAAGTCTCCCATCCCACTGTGCCCACGGTCCCAGAGGAGGCTGGTGTAGGCTGAGACGTGTCTTGGCTGCTCGAGGAAGGAGGGGTTTGAAGATTGCCCAGTGAAGACGGGAGGCTGAGCCTACTTGGGTCCCCTGTCAGCTCGTCACCCGCCACCCTGTGTTCCCCATCCCTTCCAGAACCTGAGTGCTTCCAAGGCAGTTGACTCATAGCAGACAGGGAATATTTTGTTCTCTTCCTCCGAAGCCCAGGGCTGGGCTGGGCCAAGTGTGAAGTCATGAGAGCTGTGACGAGACGCGGGCTGCTGGGGCCGGCGATCGCGGTTAGAGCAGTTCTTGGCGTTGTGTGTAGCCTTTATTTCTTTCCCCCCGCTTTCTAAAAACTGCACTTCCTCCTCCCATCTTCCCAGTGAGGCAGGCAGGGCTGCCTCTGTTTACCAGATGGGAAAATGAGACAGGACGAGGACATCACTGCAGCCACTCAGCCAGGAAACACTTCCATCCTCCAGAAGTGAGGGTCCCAGCTGTCCTGCACTCCACACCCTAAGTTAGTTAAGGGATGGGCAGGTGGGCGCCCACCTGGATGCCTGTGTTTTAGCTCCACGCTCCAGGGACCAGGTGTTGAGGAAAGCGGAGCGGGGGCGGGGACAAATGCGGAAAGCCTCCACTGCACCACACACACCTGGCTGTGCATGCAGGTCCCCAGGGGGCTTGTTACACCTGGAGAGTCCTCGACTGTCATTCGGACAGTCTTGGGTATGGTGTCATGGCCCTCGTGTCTGTGAGGCCGGCCTTGGCGCCACCACATGCACCCCGTAAGTTCCATCCACCCCCTTGGTTTTATGCTCACAGCAGCCTCACTGGAAGCTTCGTCATCCCATTTTACCGAGGAGGATGCTGAGGCTCAGGGTTGAGTAACTTGGTCAGAACTAGTAAGTGGCAGAGCGGGACGTCCCCTCGGCCAGGCTCCTCTCTCACGGAGCAGAAGGGTGGGAGGCGCGCCGCGTGACAGTCGGGTCTCTGGCTGACAGGCCCCTCTGCCTCCAGATCTACATGCACCTGCGCTGCTACAGCTGCCCCAACGAGCAGCGCTACATCGTCCGCGTGCTCTTCATCGTGCCCATCTACGCCTTCGACTCCTGGCTCAGCCTCCTGTTCTTCACCAACGACCAGTACTACGTGTACTTCGGCACCGTGCGCGACTGCTACGAGGGTGAGGACGGCGAGCGGCGGGGTGCCGGGGCGGGGTGCCGGGGCGGGGTGCTGGGGCGGGCCCGGGGCCGGTGCGCTCTGCACCCCTCCTGCCTGGCGTCCGAGAGCCAGAAGCCCCTCTCCCCGCTTCCTCCTTGAGAGGCTGCCCCCTCACTTCTTTACCCACTTCAGGGTTTCCATCCAGGCCCAAAGCGACAGGTATAGCTAGAGTCTCACCTTGCAGATGCCCTTTGCGGTAGGGCTCCCTAAATACCATCACATATAACTGGAAGGCAGGGACCCTCAACCTGCATCTCATTTCTAGTGTCTCGGATACGGGTGTGAGGGGCACAGCAAATGAGTGGTTCATTTGTAGATAGAAACCCCAGGTACAGACAGGTCATGGTTTTATCCAGGGGTCCGTGGCACGACGCTGGCACAGCTGGGCCTCCCTCCCCACGTGTCTTAAAGTCTGAGGACTTTGTCCCAGGAGGAGCTCTACTGTGCTCCCCAAGAAGGCGACTTGCTACCTTTCGGGGGCTTCCGTTCTTTTGCGTGACAAGAAGCGTCCCCCACTCTGGTATAGAGCTCCGAGCATGGGCTGGGCCTGCTGCTGGGCACTGGGCTGCAAAGAGGGAAGTCCGCCCTCACCCTGCGTGCTCTCTCCAGGGGTCTGTGCCACCTAAAATCCCCGCAGGAGACGGAGATGCTCTCTCACTGGGGCCCAGCAGTTCCGGCCTGGAGCGGGCAGGGAGCAGGGAGCTGAGCCTTAGAGAATGGGTCGGCGTCTGTCAGGGGGCGCTGAAGAGAATCCATTCTGGGCCAAGAAGAAGCTGATCTCAGGGCGAGAGAGGAGGCCTAGTGTTACCTGGCTGGGGGCACCTGTGCAGGGGTGGGGGGTGGCTCCAGTCATCGGCTAGAGGGGGCTTGCCCCAGGAGGTAAGGACAGGGACATACACAGCCTTGCAGGCCATGCAGAGAAATGTAGATATTTTTTCTTACTGTTGACGCATAACCTGGAAATTGCGGGTTAGAAAAATATGCATGTGGAAGATGGCTGAAGGAGAGGGAGGAGAGGCTGGAGGCCCCAGGACAGGTCACAGGCCAGCCATGCCCAGGCCTGTACCCCAGAAGGCCAGCAGGGTTGGGGAGGAGGGATCCTTGGATTTAAGATCCCTGCTCTGATGCTCACCCTCCTCTCGTGGCCGTGTGTTTTCCTGTCTCCCCGAACCTGCACTGCTGGTTTCCGATGGGGCGACCAGACGTGGTTTTCCTTATGCTGTGGCTGGGCAGCTCTGACTGTGTGTCTGCTTTCCTGACCTGGGAGGGCTTTGTCCTTGGCCCTGAGCTTCATGGATATTGGAGCGCAGCATGCTTGTCCCTCGAGAAGCTGGAGTCTCTTTTTCCTGTCCCCCTTTGAACCTCTATATCCCTGAGGACTCACAGGGCACAGGAAATGCCTTTGGACTTGGCGAGGAAATTCAGGCGCCTAACACACTGAGCCCCGTCTGCCCCTCCAGCCACGCCGGCCTCTTCTCTGGCCTGGGCACACAAGCGTTTGCCCAGTGCTCGGGAAGCTCCTCCTCTTCCTCTTCCTCTTCCTCCTTCCTGACTCCGGTGTCCCCTCAGAGAGGCCCTCCCGGTCAGTCCTCCTAGCACCCTGTCCGAGTCCCATGGCCTTGCCGCCGTGGCCGTTAAGTGCGTGCCTGGTCTGTTCCCGTTCCCCTGAGTAGACAGGTGGCTCTGTGAGAGCGGGAACGGGCGGAGAGCTAGTGCTGACAGAGCCGGGCTCATGGTCGGTGCTTACTATTCCGTATTTCTTGAATGAATAAGAAACTGTATGAGACACCTGCTACGTGCCTTGTATTCATCCACATGGGGCCTCGTTGAGTTCCCGGCTGGTGTCCCTGCCCGGCCAGCTCTGCTGGGTGAGAATGCGAAGGCCAGGTGGGGACCTGCTCGGGTGTAACTGGGGCTCTGGTGCCTGATATTCCTGGAAGCACAGAGTCCTCAGGGAAACCTCTGGGTACCTGGGGAGCCGCAAAAACTTGGGTTGGAGAAGGTGGGGCCGAGAATCCTTTTCCATTCTGCTGCCAGCCTCGCATGGGTGCCCAGAGCAGCCTCCGCCTGCCATTCCTTCAGAAGCAAAAAGCTGTCCCCTGCCAAGGCGGCCCCACCTGTGTGGTCGGAGGGGCGGGGCCGGCCCCCGAAGACTGGGGCACATGGCAGAAGGGCAGGCACAGCGAGGGAGCCTCCAAACCGTCCTCACTTCGTGCCCCAGAGGAGGCAGCAGATGGTTGACGACTCCCCACACTCCAGAAGCCGCTTTGTTCAGGCCCTGCCTGTCCCAGCCTTCCTCCCAGCCCAGCCATGTAAAGGTCCTCTCAGGAAGTCTGCATCTCCTAGCAACACCATTGTTCCCCGGCCCCTCCCAGGGAGTGTACAAACGGCGCAGCAGCTGCCCTGAAGTCCCTGAGTTCACCAGCTGTGGTGTCTGAGGCCGGCTGGGCCCTCCCCTTGCCCTGCCCTGCACCTCTGCTCTGCGTCTCAGACCCTCTCATTGTTCCTTAGCTGCCCTCGCCTTGCCCCTGCAGGGTTGGCGATGGGGTACCCCTTACAGTGTAAAAAGAGCCCCCCGTTCTTTCCCCTTCCTGTCCTTCCTCAGTCTGCTGAGACCAGGGAAGGGGCAGGAATGGACCGTGCCGGAGAATTCTTACTTCAGATCCAGCCAGCCTGTGCCAAAGCCCCTCAGAGCTGGGCTCTCTGCTAGCCGTTGGGCAGACATTTTTTTTTTTTTTTTTTTTTTTTAACAGAATTAAAAAACTAAAATTTTACTTTTGTTAAAGTCATACATGCATATGGTTGAAACACGAAACTACCCCAACTCCTCTTCACTCCCAAGTTTAGTGCACTTTCAACTCTAAACTGTGTTTTCCCCTAAAATAACCTAAAAATATGCTTGTGCTGTTGTTTCTTGATTTTTCAGTTTAATGTAGTGCTGTGTAGTGACTTCCTACTGTGGAAGGTTTTTGATTTAGGTACCTGCCTCCAACTATACACACCCACACACAGTTTTCTTTCCTTCTCGTCAGTGCGACTATACACCGTTTTTCTAAGCCTTCATTCCGTGTTTGCATTGTTACATGTCTGTAAATATTGTTCAAAGCGGAGTCTTCAGTGTCCCGGGATGACATTTCCTTGTACAACTTAATTTTTCCTCCACTTACTATTTGTCTTGCTTTTGAGTTTGCTCTGTGGCTTATCATTAATTTATTCCAAAACGCTTCACCGAATAAAAGAAAGCCCTCTCTGAAGTCAGACATGTCACGTACTTCGTTAGCTCTGGTGGCATTCCTCCCGGAGCCCTGCCCTTCTTGCCCCTACCTGGACAGGCTGCTTCCGGACGCCCTACCTCTCAGCTGTGCTTGTGGGTCTTCCCTTGACCGTCAGCCTCGGAATCCTGGCCGCCTCTCCTGTGCTGACCCACCCGTTCCCTGGATGCCGTTTCCCCCCTCGTTCATGATTTGTTCTCTCTTTGGGGTGAGAGCACATCTTCCAGGAACTTCCCGAGAAAAAAGGCAGCGGGCATGGGAGTTCTCTATTTTGAAATCTGAACATCGTCTGCCCAATGTCTTTATCGTACTGTTTATTTGATTACTTTTCAGTGGGAATACAGTTCTAAGTGGGAAATCATTCTCCCTCTGAATTTTGAAGGCACGTTTCTCACTGTCTTTTAACTTCTAGAGTTGTTTTTGCACAGTTTGCTGGATTCTGATCCTTAATGTCTATACGTGACCCGCTTTTTTCCCTCTTGCTTTCTTTATCCCCAGGGTTCTGAAATTCACTGCGCCGGGCTCTTAGTGGCCCCTTCCCTGTGGGAACTTAATGTCCAGACGTCTGGGACATTTTCTTGTTTGCGTCTTTGATAATTCCTTTCCCTCTCCTTTGTTCTCCCTTTCTGGAATTCCTGTTCGTAGGATTTTGCGCTTCTGGATTGATCTTCGAGTTTCCTTTACAGTTCTCCAGCTCGTTTTGTTATGTTTTTCAGGAACTTTTTTTTTTTGATCTTCACTTTTGAGCTTTTACACAGAAGGTTTTGTTTTCTTTATCGTGGTGTGACACGTCGGGCATGCGTCCCTGTTCCTTTTTTACAGCCCTCACGCTTGGTGTCGCGTAGCTAATTGCAGTTTTCTCGTTTCCTGCGTCTCTGTCTCCTGACTCCCTTTCGTGTGTTTGTGTGCTTTGGTCTTTGACCTTTGCGTTGGAAGCGCTCCTCAAATATTTGCTGTCCTTGGCTATTTTTCATATTTAAGAATGGGGCTTCCCCGGCTGGGCCTCTCAGTTGCGTGATAGGACACGGGGCATTTCTTCTGCTATTTTGATGCCCTGGTAGGGACAGGCACCAAATGAAGATTTTTTTTTTGATCCTGGGCCTATTTCCCCAGAGAAAAATATTCTTATCTCCTGCCTGGGAGGTGAAAGCTGGGCAAGGGTGCAGAGGAGGAGAGGGACGTGGGCATCTCACGCTTCGTATCCACAGCTCATCTCTCTTTTCTGCAAGTCTCCTCGTTGCTGCCCAGCTGGGCCAGGCTTTCTGAGGACAGAGCCATCCATCTCAACCCGTCTAGAAAGTGAAAACCCAGTAGCTCCACGTGGAGGTTGGTAGCCAGATTTCCCATCTGCGCCCTTACTCATAACCATCAGAGTCACCTGGTACGTCCAGTGCTAGGGGTTCTTCCTCCCCAGGTTGGCTTCCTCCCCTCCCCAGGTCAGTGACCACGCTGCACCTTCCAGAGCTTTCGTTGACATCCCTCGTAAGCCGCCTCTGGTGCCATCTCCTTGTCCTTGAAGGTTTATGCTTTTCTGCCCATTCGTTCTCATTTTAGTGGCGCTCTGGGGCGGGGAGTGGGGAGTGGAGATAAACTGCTGGGATCGGTGGTAGTACTGCCATTTTCCAAGGAGAAGGCCGAGTCTCAGAGAAGTGAATGACTTGCGCAGGGTCCCCCTGCCCGTGTGCCTCTCCCTGGTGAGGGCCGTGACTCACAGTCATCCACCTAGCTGCGACGTGCCAGGCAGAAACCAGCCCCCTTACCCGCACGTAGTATTGGATTGTGGTTGGGAGTATCCCCTAAAGATGACTCCGAGACAGCTCTGGGAGCTCTGAGGTCAGAGAGGTGCAGGGGGCCAGAGTTCGCAGGAGGGGGACGGTTTCTGTTGCTTTATGCGGGCCCTGACTTATCAGTGTTTGCACTTCCCAGTTCCGCCACATGTATTTCGTTACTGTTAGCTTAGTCTCACCTCCCAGGCACCAGGGGGAGTGTATAACGTCATTCCCATTTTACAGCTGTGGGAAAAAAGTCCACTTAGGCCAAGAGACTTGCCCAAGATTTCCCAGAGTATTTGCGAGAGGCCAGGCTCACCTTGGGTCTTCGAGTCCTAGGACTTGCTCTGGGCCAGGCTTGGCGAAGGAGCACAGGACAGGTTTCTCCCCTGAAAAATATACATGCATGCAAGAAGCAAAGAACGAGGCCTCATTCACCTTGTTTCAGATTTTGGACAAACTTAGCTTCCTGGAATCCAGCCCACAATGAAACATCTTCCTAGATACGGCCGGGATGAACCCAGCGGAGGGCCACAGACACGGGGCCACAAAAGATCTAAAGCTCAGTGTGCTGCCGGGAGGACTCAATGGCTAGGAGTGTCCCTAGCTGGCAGTGGCTGTGACAGAGCCAGGAATTACAAGAGCTCGATCAATCAGAATAAGAAAGATATTCAGAAGAAACCAGTAGGAGATCTTGAGAAATCAGTAATCCAGGTGGCAAGAAGCAGCCGCAGGCAGGATCAACAGAGGACAGGAAAGCCACAAGGAAGGACGAGAGTGGCTTGAGTGTGGGGTCTTTAGCTTCGGGCAGCGCCCCTGCCACCACGGCTGTAGTTCAGTGTATCCGTTATTGTCTGTCATGATCATCGGTCACTGAAAAAAGGGAAGGAACATTTGAGGTCCCTGTTTACTGAGCAGAGAAGATTTCTGTCCAACGTGATCGAAATTAAGTTTCGGGCTCGTCCACCAGTTATCTGAAACATGGAATGTCCACGTGTCTCTGTGTAGCAAAGATGGCCAGGCCACGAGGCGGCTTCAGGTGCGGATGGTGAGCGGAGGAGGTGAGCTTGGAGTGGCCAGGTGCGCCTCGGGTCATCGAGGCTCCACACACAGTGCACGGCACTCAATAGGTGCCCAGACAGACAGGTGCGCCTGCCTTACCCATAGTGGGGAACTCGTGAGGACTCCTGATTTTGGGGGCTGCCGGCAGAGACGGCTGCTGTTGCAGTTTTCCCCTTGGAGGTGGGAGGGCGGTGCTGGGTAGGAGGCTGGGTGCAGGGCAGTCTCTGTGACTACAGCATCCTGTCCAGGCCGCTTCAGATTAGAGAAGCTGCCACTGAAGAAAGAAAGCCTCGAGTCTCGGGGTTGGAAGGGACCTGTAAAGTGTCAGCTTCTTGGAACCCCGTTATAATATCTGCTAAGAGGCTGCCCAGTCTCTGATTTCATGCTTCCACTGGCAGAGAGCTCACTACCTTCTATGTCTGAAGACTGCCTGTCAGGAATTATTATACTAGGCTGAAGTCCTAGGATCCATCCCGAGGACCAAGTGGGTCTTGTCTGAGCTTCTGGACAAGGTCACCATCACTTATGTGAAGAGAGTGACCGTGGTGTCTTCCCTCCAGGCCTTGAGGGTCCAGTGCAGTCTTAGTTTCATCTCCATCATGGTCCTTCTCTCCTGACTGTATGCGTTTGTCGCTGCTTCATTTAGGATTTAGTTAGTATCTAGGATAGAGCAGAAGGTTCCAGGTACCTGATTATCATGGGAGAGAGGGAGGGAGTGTGGGGGAGACGGAGAGACAGACAGACACAGACAGACAGACACCATCCCTTTCTTCATGCTGATGCCCCTTTCTAGATAGAAAGACCTGGTCTGTGGATCCTTTGGTCACTTATGTGTCCCCAGGGCCTAGCACAGAGGCTGTAGTGAGTATTCAAGGAGGTCCAGAGTTATTTTCTTTCTCTAGGGCCTCTCCAGGGAACCAGAACTGGAACTGTGGTCAGAAGGACAGTCAGGTGACAGTGCTGCTGACTGAGAAGGCTACTCAGTCTTTTTACTTTTCTTATGTCCAGGGCCAGCGTAACTTCGTGTCTGTTCCCGGGCTGTGTGTCGAATGGTCCATTTTAAACACCCTCGCTGGGGTGTCGGAGGTGCTTTAGCGCGGCTCTGTCACTTTCTAAGAGGGAATTGATTTGTCCAGATGGTCAGTGGGTCCTGGTGTGGGCTGGTTGAGTCATCCTGAGGAGCTTCTGTCTCGTCTCCCTTCTCTGAGAATGCGTTACTGACTCACTAACGATTGCTGAAAGGAAACCGTCAGCAAACCGGTGTTATACAGACCGGCTGGCCCCAGAGCACTGTTAAAAGGTCAAGAACCTTGAGCTAAGAGATGGATGAAATTCGATGATTCTGACCAAACACAGAGCTCGACCACGTCACTCAGGGCGTTGCCGATGTCCACGTGACCGGACGTGTGCTCGCACGCCAGGCCGTCCTCAGGAGTGGACTGCAGGACGGCCTAGCTTGGGAGGGCAGTTCTGCATGCGGGGGGCTGTTCCGCATGCGGGGGGCCGATGAACTTCAGCCCCCGTGGGTTCTCCGGGTTTTGTCTTTGGGAATTGGAAGTCTGATCACTTGGGGAAGGCACGGCTTCCCCACCCATGAGGTGAGCTCCTTGCGCACAGAGCTGAGTGCAGACGTACCTGCCTGCCCTGCCTTGCAGCCTCACCTGGAGTTATGGCCACGTCTGCACATCCCTTCCTCCCGTGTTGACTGAGGACGTGTGAGTGCTGCGACCCCTGGTAGTTGTTGGGATAGGCCTCAGTTCCTACCTGCAAGGAGTTTACAGTCCTGAAAAACGCAATAGGTGACACTGTGGACCACTTGGCCTGGCCTCGGCCTTATCTAAGGCGCCACACTCATCCACCGCCCCGTCCTCACAGCAGCCTCATGAGGAGGGAGCTCTTGTTATCCCCAGCGTATAGATGAGGAAACCGAGGCACAGAGTGTTTAAGAAACTTGCCTGAGGCCACACAGCTCCTAAGTGGTGGAACCGCGGTCCATACCCAGGCGGTCTGGCTCCAGGGTTCATGGCTTTCCTGCTCTTTTATGCCGCCGCTTGTACTAAAAGGATCAGATGGATGAGCAGAGAGGTCATGGCACGTGAAATGAGCATGACGACAGGACAGAGGAGGCCACCAAGGAGGACATGGCATCTCAGCTGGGTCTGCCTCTGGGGGTTAGCAGGCTGTGCCACCTCAGGGACGCGTGGGAGGTCATGGCACGTGCTGGCTGTGTAAATAATTATCCCCAGAACGGTGTGAAACAGCCATTTATTCACGCATAGTGCAGATCAGGAATTGGGACAGGGCACGATGGGGTGAGTTTACTCCTGCTTTGTGATATCTGGGTGTCACCTGGAGAACCCAAAGGCTGGAGAGGGGTCACCTGAGGTCTGGTTTGCTCACGGGTCTGGCAGTTGATGCTGGTGTCAGCTGGGGCCCCCGTCCCTCCCACAGGAGCCTGCCCACGTGGGCTCTGCACTCGGACTAGCTTGGGCTCCCTCACACGGTGGCTGGGTCCACAGGCAGGCATCTCCAGAGGAAGAACCAGAGGAAAGAGGCCTTTTCTAACCCCAACATCGGAAGTCACTAAGTGTCACTTCCGCCGCTGTAGTCAGCCCCATCCACCCAGATGCAAGGGAGAGAACGAGACCACATCGCTCAGTGGAGCAGTGTCAGTGTCAGAGGGCGGGGCTGTCTTTGGAAAATACCATCGACCACAGTAGAGCCGGACCCAGCACGGGATGGACACAGCTGTTCTACTTGGCCTTGTGTGGTTTTGGACAAAGGTTATTAGCAGGCTGACGTCAGGTTTGGCTTGATGTGCCCTTCCCCCCAGATACCTTACAGCTCTTGTCAGTGATGAGTGATCTGGAGCTCAGTGGAGATGCCTGCAGTCAGCAAACATCCTGAGATGCTTTCGTGCCAGGCAGGCAGTGCGTAGGGTCTTCAGCCCTGTCAAGGGACACTGGCCCTGAGGAAGGCAGGCAGATGACCAGTAATGGCCTGGCAGCCACACTGAGAGAGTGCTGCTGAATGCCAGCCACCCTTCCAAAGACTTTGCGTATTCACTTCAGCCTCGCAATCACCTGTCAAGAAAGGCGTTCCTGTTACCCTCACTTAACAGAGGAAACCAAGGTGCAGAGAGGCTCACGCTACCTGGTGGCAGAGCCACGGGGCAGGTCCTCTGCTACATGTGTATAGAAGGACAGTCACAGCAGTATGGTAGATGCCATAGGTCATGTTTAGAGAGGGTGCTACCTGAGGGCCCGCACCCCAGCTGGAGAAGTGAGCCCTTAATAGGTTAGAGCAACAGCAAATGGTGTAAAGCACCCCAAATATGTTCCTTTCCAAATTGCTGAAGGCCAACTTTTGCCTAAAACTGTCGCCAGGATTTTATGTGCTTCCCTGCACATCAGCAGGTCCGTGGGTGAGAAAGCACTGGCCTGGAGTGGTGGCCGGCGACTTCTCAGGGTGGGTGGTGCTTGACAGGTCGGAGAAGTGCAGATGGAAGGGCGGCCCAGGTAGTGAGAACAGCCAGCCCAAAAGCACGGAGGGGCCAATAACCTGCCGAGGGAAAGGCGGTCATCTAGCGTGGCTGGGAAGAAAGTGTGAGGGGTGTCAGGGACCAAGTCAGCCATCAAAAGACCTTGAGTGCCAAGCCAAGGGGCCGCACCAGGGAGCCCGGAAGGTCTTTGTGCTGCAGGGGATGGCAGGACGAGATGAGAAGGAGCCCGTCCTGGCCCGTTTTGACCCTCCCCTCGGCCTTGCTCCTTTGCTGGGCGCCTCTCCTCGTTCCCCTGCCCTTGGCCCCCTGACCTTCTCCTGCACCTTTCCTTTGCGGTGTCCTCTGCTCCGCACCTCTCATTCCTTCTCTCCATGCTCCCTCCTTCCTCGCTCCGGGCACATCCCTTCGCTCCTGGCACCCTGCAGGCGGTAGCCTTCATTGTGCTGGCCCAGCAGAAATTCTGACCAGGAGACTGATTACAGTGTATGGCTATATTTAGCAGAACATTTACAACATAGTTCTCTGCCATCGGTCGATGTTGCAAATTTTGTGTCTGTGGGGATGTCCAGCCACGTCCGGGTTCAGAATGAGCTGGCCAGATTCCCAAGACATTTGTGCTATATTTCGTGCACCTCTTCTGTGTCTTGTGACGGCTTATGGTGCTGTGGAGACTGAGGGGCACTGCAGGTTGTTGGATGGGTAAAGGTTCTGCTGTCTCATTTGTGCTTAGAATTTGTCCTGAGATCCCTATGGAGAATGTTTCATTGTTTTGTCGTAAAATTGTGATCCATAACACACAGACAGAAGCGCGCATAAAACTAATAAGTAATTACAAAGCCAGCACCCCGGAACCCCCGAGCGTACACGCTGCCAGCTCCCTGTGCCCCTGCCATGCCCATCTGACTTCCCCTCCGCCAGCCTAGGCTCACAAAATCCTGAAATTTGTAGTAATCACCTCCTCGCTTTTTTCTACGCAGTGACCAGCAGAGTGTGTCCGCATCCCTAAACAACGTGATGTGTCTTTGCCTGATTTTGATCGCAAGTGGAATAGTCACTGTGTGGGTTCTCATGTCCCCGAGGGCTCCCCGTTGCTGCCCGTGCCTGTGGCTCTTCACTTCCGTTGCAGTTTAGAATCCCACCATCTGTTTACCCATCCTGTTGATGTGAGTGGTTTACTCTGGACACTCTTTTCACAGCCTTGGTCATCTACAATTTCCTGAGCCTGTGCTATGAATACCTTGGGGGAGAAAGTTCCATCATGTCAGAGATCAGAGGGAAGCCCATTGAGTGAGTATGAAGTCCCCCTAAGGCCCCCTGTACCACTCTGTTTCTCGGGCCTGGCATTCTTTGAGCTGTCCTGGCGGCAGCTGGACACACAGACCTTTTTTGCCCATGACCTTGACCTGCTGAGCTTCTCCCGCACTTCCTTAGCGAGGCCATTCACTGGGACTCTCGGGAGGGCCTCTCGGCCTCTCTCTCCTTCTCTCTCCCTGTTTCTCCCTCTTACCGTTTTTCCGTTCAGTGCTTTCCGAGCAGTTTGTTACCGTAGGGCCCGTGCAGCCCTGCTCTGCCGTGCTTTACCGCGCGGTCGCAGACGCTCTCTGGCGTCTCCTGTGCTTGGCCTTGGGCTCACCGGCTGCCTGGGATCTGTGCCCCGCCCCGACCCCGCCCTGCTCTACCTTGGCCTGTCCGGATATGAGGGAGGACGCCCCCATCATGTCAGAGATCAGAGGGACCTCCAGCCCCCTCGTGTCCCAAGTCCTGGCTCTCTGCTCACCGTCTCCTTTCTGCTTGTCTCTTCCAGGTCCAGCTGTGTGTATGGCACATGCTGCCTTTGGGGAAAGACTTACTCCATTGGATTCTTGCGGTTCTGCAAGCAGGTGTGTGTGTGCCCCAAGCAACTGCTCGGGTCAAGAGTTGCAGGCTGGCGACCAGAAGCCAGGGTCTGTGCCCTGGAGCAGCAGCTGCAAGGGGCTGTACTGCCCCTGGTTGACAGTGGCAGAGGTGGGCGTAGGGCCAGGAAGAGCCTGCTGCAGGCTCCCCTGGGCCCCACCTGTGGAGTTCCCGTTTCCTGCAAGGCACCCCGAGCCCCAGCGCCCACTCCTCAAGCAGTTAGGGGTGCCCCTGCGTTAGCAGGGTGTGCTCAGAGGGACAGCGACAGGCATCCTGGGAGTGTCTGATGCAGTCCTGGGCGAGAAGCGGTCCCAGGCTCTTGCTCACTTTGACCAAGGCTCAGTGTGTGTGAGGATCAGAGGAACTGGAATCTCAGTGTGAAAACGTCTCATCAGCTGGTGCTCGAGGGAAGGAGGGTTTCTGCACTGACGATAATGACCAAACAGACCCACGCCAGCTCTGGTCTCTTCTCCATGTCCCAGTTGGCAGTCCGGCAGCTTCTGGTTTCCTCCGCTGCCCTCCCTGAGACGGTGCGGCGTTGTGGTTACGTGCATGGGCCTGGGTGCCTGACCATCCGAGTTCGTTTTCCAGCTTCTCCTCTGACTGTGTGACCTTGGACGAGTTACCTGACCTCTCTGAGCCTTAGTTTTTTCTGTAAAATGGGCGTAATGATACTCACCTCAAGGGATGGTTGTGGAGGTGAGGTGGTGGATGGAGAGCACTGGCCCGGAGCCCACTGTCTGATTCAGGGAGTGAGAGTTAAGGGTCACCCCCAGCTGTCCTTAGTCTCCTCTGGGGCTCCGCAGGGCTTGTCAGCCCCTCCAGCATCTCCAAGTGGAGTCCTGAGGGATAGTCGTGGCTGGGGCGGGGTGGGGGGGTGGGGGGCCTGGCTTTTAGACTGCTTTCTGTGCAGGGCCACTGCCCCCCAGCGCAGGCACAGCCACACCCACAAAGCGTCTGCCTGGACATCCCAGGTCTCCAGGTTCACTTCCGCATCTTCCTTCCCCAGGGTGTTTCTAAATTCGAAATCTCCCACTGGACCTGCAGGGAAAGTGTTAAAACTGTGCCGGTTTCAGGGTGGGGCCTTTCAGAGCCATTGTTTACCAGTGGGTTTGGCCGCCCAGGGCCCTGCTGTGACTCACCGCCTTCTTTGATGATTATGTTGTGTACAGAGTTTTGATCCCATGATCACTAGCTCCGGTGGCCTTATTATAAACTGTCCCCATTCCTGTGGTCTCACATGTTTCACTGTAGTTCCTGGAGGTGGCAGGGAGAGGTAGTAAAAGGAGGGAGAACAAAAGAAGCCTCTGCATATTATTCCTAAGGTGGAGAGAGAACCACAGCCTGTCTCAGAGGCGAAGGATCTGAACCTCCTGGGTCGTCCCTTCTGTCGCTTCAGCTTCTCTGCCTCAGTTCCCTCATCTGTAATGTGGGGATGACAGCAGCACTCAGGGGGCTGACCCAGGGTGGCACCAGCCTGTGGTCGGGCTCCTGACTCTGTTCAAACAGCCGCTCCTCCCTTTTCTCCGCCCTTTTCGTCAGTGGGTGCTGGTCCCACTTCCTCTAGGTGGGGCGGCGAGGCGGGGAAAATTCTGTGGGGAATGCCAACAGCAGTATTGCACCTCTGGCTCTGTCACAGGCACTTCCCCTAGCGGCGGCCCCATAGCTCAGGCCTCCCCTGCAAACTCCGCTCTGCCCCAGGGTCTTTGCCCAGTCCGGAGCCACACTGGCTTAGCCGTTGCAGCTATGCCCACCAGCACAGAAGGGGCCTTGTCACTTAGATTTATCTGATTTCAGGAGAGTGGTGATCCTAGGGATGTTACGGGTACTGGGGGTACCCCTCGGTTTACTGGGGCCTCTGTAGGGAATTGCGAAAGCCTGGCTGAGGAATTCTCTGAGAGGCTGAGCAGGCTGGCTGAGGCCTTTGAGTGCATGGGGGTGGGAGACCTCCACGCTACTTCTGTCTCGTTCTTCAGTCCCCACACACATGACCCTGTGACATGGAGGCTGGTTACGTCCATATACCAGAGGCGAACTGATCACTCCCTCGAGCTTCCATAGCTGGGGGCTGCCAAGGCCAGAATTCTAGCTCAGATGCTGGGACTCCAGACCTCTGCCTTGGTGTTTTGTTCCCTTGTAGGTCATCTGCATCCACAGTGGGACCCCAGCTTTGACCCAGGCCTAGAGTACGGAGCAAGGAGCAGACTTGGGGTTGGGCGAGGAGGATGAGCGGAGGTCCTTACCCACCCCTACTCCCCATGCGGCCAGTCCCTCGAGCAGGGCCCTGGCTTTGCCAGTCTCCCCGGCCCCCCAACCGCTGCCGCCTTTCACCAGCACGTACCCTTGCCCTTGGCCGCTCTCTGCCTCTGGGCCTCGGTATGAGCTGCTCCCTCTCCCTCGTCTCCGGCACGTCCCTTCGGCCCCTTCTGCAGTGGCATCTCCTGTCTCCATCAGATGTCCTTCCCTCCTCCGCGCCCTGGTCTTCTCACATAGCTGCATCGCGCTGTCATCATCTGATGTGTTCTGCCTCCTCCTCCTCCAGACCGCAGTCCCCTCGGGGGAGGACACTGGGCCTCCCCGCCATCCCCGGCATCCAGCGCAGGCCCACCCGGCCAGAGGAGGTACCTGGTACATGGTCGCTGTGCTCATCCTGACCCTTGGCTTTTTCCCCCCACAGGCCACCCTGCAGTTCTGCGTGGTGAAGCCGCTCATGGCTGTCAGCACCGTGGTCCTCCAGGCCTTTGGCAAGTACCGGGACGGTGACTTTGAGTAAGCAGCAGGCCCCCTATGGGTGTGTAAGGAGGAGTGTCGGTGCCAGGGTAGATGCCCTGGTTTAGGGAAGGGGTAGCCACAGAGTGGCCACACACGCACACACCCCAGGACCTTCCTCTGGGTGGACGGGTACACCTGCCTGTACCCCTGAGCCGCAAGGCCCGAGCCTGGCAGTGGCAGCCATTGCACTTGGCCCTGCTTCTGGCACAGGGGCAAGCCCTCGACATCCGTCACCTTCACAGGCTGCAGAGTGGTGCCCGGGGACCATTCCCAAGACAGAGCAAGAGGGTCGGAGCCCTGAGAGGCCGGTCTGGGTCCTCAGGTAGAAAACCTCAGCTGTGTAAATTGTCCACAGACTCTCATTTTGGGGGTGAGCAGAAGTGACCGCATGGCCATGTGCTGGCAAGTGCTTAGCATACAGCACCTGTACTGTACATGCCTGGGCAGGTGAGCAAACAGGGCTCAGAGCGGGACATGACTTGGCTCCAGTGAAAAGAGCAAAGCTGCACTCCCAGCCCCTCGCACACCTGTCTGACCATGAGGCTGAGTGCCCTACCCCAGGCCATATTAGCTTCCACGCCTGTGTCCTCCACCATGGGCACCAACACTGCAGACGGGCGGCTTGGACACGCCCGTGAGCGAAGCAGAGGCGTATGGCCGGCCTGCACTGCGGGCGCACCCCCTCGCACCCCCTCACGTTTTGATTGCTTCGATCACCTCTCCGTGTGGCTCGGGAGCACTGCTGAGAGCCGTAGGAATTGGCTCTGGAGCAGGGCTAAGGAGGGGGAAGGCCCCTTGTCCCCTCGAAGGGTCTGTCCCAGCCAGAATGCTCCCGGTTTTGCAGTGTCGCCAGCGGCTACCTCTACGTGACCATCATCTACAACGTCTCTGTCAGCCTGGCGCTCTACGCCCTCTTCCTCTTCTACTTCGCCACGCGGGAACTCCTCAGTCCCTACAGCCCTGTCCTCAAGTTTTTCATGGTCAAGTCTGTCATCTTCCTCTCCTTCTGGCAAGGTGAGCCTCCTCTCAGCCCCTGTGAGGCCGGCCTCTGCCACCCTGTCCCCTAAGCCTCGTTCCTTTCTTCCTGCTTGCCGTCCCTGGGCATCCCGGCCTGGAGTTCAAAAGGGCCTCTGTCCACGGGCACCCGCTGGGCAAGGAGTCTGGGCCCCTGGGGGCCTTGAAAGGAGCCATGGCGGAGCTTCAGTGGGGCCCCATACAATCGGCGACATCTCTGTCGGTGGCTGGAAAGGAGCTGGAGAGTGGGGTTGCCAGGAGGCCTTGCCTTTGTGTTGGCAACCCTGCCTTACAGGAGTGACGGTGGCCCCTGTCGGGTGTGGCATTTTGGGATGCTGCGTGGAGGAAGAGACACTGGGAAAGGGGTCCAGTCTGGGCCAGACACCCACCCCTCCCCTTCCAGGCATGCTCCTGGCCATCCTGGAGAAGTGCGGGGCCATCCCCAAGATATACGCGGCCCACGTGTCAGTGGGCGAGGGCACTGTGGCTGCCGGCTACCAGGACTTCATCATCTGTGTGGAGATGTTCTTTGCAGCCCTGGCCCTGCGGCACGCCTTCACCTACAAGGTCTACGCCGACAAGAGGCTGGACGCGCAAGGTATGAGCCAGAGTCCTGGAGACTCCCCGCAGCGGGAGCACGCCCGGTCGGCCCAGGTCCCCTCCTGCCTCCCAGTGTCCTGTGGAAGGGTCGGGGACCACCAGTTTACAGGTGGGAAAGAGGCCACAGAGGTCAAGGCACCTTCTGCCCCTGTCACAGGGTGGGGGTGTCCCTAAAAGCTAGGTCTGCCTACCTCTTGCAGCAGGTCTAGTGTAGGGAGACCCCAAAGTAATATGGCACAGTATCCCCATGGGAAGGTCAGGATGGAGATTTTAGGATAGACAAGTTTCTAAGGGTTCGTAATATCAGATACAGTTATCTGTTGTATCCTATAATTCTTCTGTCTCTGAAGTTCTGTTGTTTGTTTTAAACCTGATTCCTTCTCAGAAACAAACTCAGATGGTAATAGCTTTTAACAGCTTTCTCTTACACTTACTAATCTTCTTCGTTAAAACAGAGGTGGCGATCCCTGTTATACATTAAACACACTGGAGAGTCTTCAGAGCCCGTGTCTGGGCCCCACCCTCAGAGATTCTGCAGTAATGGGTTTGGGCTGGCGCCTGGCTCTGCGCTTTCAGAGCTCCCCAGGGGCTGGTGGGCAGGGGCTGCCTCTGGCTGCTCTTGGGCAGGGAGGGGATGTCATGTCCCAGAGGGGCAGAAAGAGGAGGCTAGGAATGCCCGAAAGGAGAGAGGGAGGGAGGAGGCCTGGGAGGGAAGCCTCTGGTCAAAGCCATTCACCCCAGAGCTCTGCAGCTGCCAGCTCCATTCCAAGTGGCTGGAGGCTAGATGCTCCCTTCCCCAGGCCCACCCCGTACAGTGCCCACCACAGGCCCCAGGGAGCCGCATACGGAGCAGAGTAGGTAGAGGCACCACGTGTTGGTGGGCGAGGCACCAAGGGGCTCCTCGGCCCCCGCCCACTCACTGCCCGGTTCTTGCCCTGGCTGAGAGGAAGCCTTACACTGCCTGTGTGTGTGGTGGCCAGAGGCACGGACTGGACTGTGCTCCGGCCTCTTGACCATGTGCCGACTGTGTACTCCCAGCACACGCGCTGGCTGGAGCTGCAGGCAGTTTTCCATTTTGTTGGCTGCACACCCACTCGGTGCCAGGCACTGTGCTGGCCGCGGCTCACTGCTGCAGCTGCTGCCCCACCCACTGCCCACCAGGCCCCCAGTTGGAAGGGTGCTGCGAGCACCCTGCCAGTGTTGAGGGCGATGTCTCCTGCCCCCAGTCCTGACAGACCCTGTGCCCTTGGGAAAGTCACCTTTGTGCCTGGAGCCTGGCAGGGTTTAAAGTGATGTAAAGAACCACTTCTGCACATGGTGGCCGTGCAGAGGCTCTCAGCGCATGCCGGGGCTGTCATCCCACCCACGGCCCCCAGACACATCCGCTCCCAGCAGTACAGCCCTGGCCGGGACCCCAGCCCAGCCAGCAGAAGCTGCCGCTCACCCTTGTCCCCTGTGTGCTGGTTTCGGCTTGCCTCGCGCCCACTGACTGTGGGGCCCAGCCCTTGTCACCCTCTAGTCAGGCGGGGGAGAGCGGCCCCCCAGTGTGATCTGCACATGAAACCCCACCCCAGCCTCAGTTTCCCATCTGTGAAGTGTCATGAGGTTTGTAGCACGAGGCACAAGCTTGGCAATTCCAGCCAAAGCTGAAGACAAGTCGGGGTGGGGGCTCCTGACTTAGGTGGAGGCTGAACTTCAACCACCATTCTGGGTGTCTGCCATTTGTCCGCCCCGCCCCCCAAAAAAAAGAAAGCAGAAGTGCCACAGGAGGAGTCATCCTACAGTGACATCCCTTGGGAGTCATCCCTTGGGGCAGCTGGGTCTGCCTGGGCCAGCGGGGCCTGGAGGGCGGAGGCGGCAGGGTGGGTGGTGAGCGCCGCCTCTGTGGTGGGCACGTGGTGTTCACTCAGCTGTCTCTTGTCTTCTCTATTTCTCTGCTTCTCTCCCCCTCCTCCCCCACCCCGCGCTTCTGTCCCGGGTCTGGCCACGGGCAGTGCCAACATATGGCCCTTACGGTAGGTCTGCTCTCAGTCTGCACGTCTTTCCTGCACGTCGGTCCTGGTTACTGTCACCAGCATGCCTCTCTCTCTAGCTCCTTCTCTGTGTCCCCATCTCCTCCCTCACGGATGCTCCTGGGTGGCAGAGCCCAGAGCACCTGCCTGCCAAGGGCCACCCTCTGTAGAGCTCGTCTGCTTCCGTCCTTGTCTGTCGTTGTTCTGGAACATGCTCTGCTGAGTTCTGAGGCACAGCACTCATCACGAGGATGGAAGGGGCAGGCGAGCTTGCGTCTGAAGACCTGGATGCGAGTCGGGCTCATCCCTTACCTCCGGTTTTGTGTCCTGGGCCATTTCTCCCTCCTGAGTCTGTGGGGACGATTCATCAGAGGGAATTAGGAGGAAGCACAGCAGGGCGGGCCGTGTCTGCTCTCAGAGGGCTGCTGGTGAAGATGTCCGCCCCGCTGCGGGCCTGGGCTCCTGCCGCTGTCCTGACGGAGTGGGTCCTTGGGCCACGCCCCCAAGAGGGTAGGCAGGACTAGCACCCCGGAGCCTGGGCACCCCTGGCTCCCGGGCCCCCTTCCTCAACACTCCGGGTCTTCAGCTGATATCCAGCCTGGCCCGGCCTCCCTGGGACATTCCAGGCTTATTGCCGGCGCCCTGCCAGTCTCCACCCCAGGCCCCGTCCCCGATGCCAGACTCGGCCCCAGTGGCTGCTCACTTCTGTTCCCTTCGGGGATACTCTGCTCTGCACCCCGGCCAGTGGAGCTATTTCTTTGCCTGTGCCTCCTCATGTCCAAGACCCCGTTCTCTGTCCCAGAAGGGGGTGGTTAGGTGGCAACAGCCTTGGGGTGGGGAATGGGTCTGGGCTAGGGGCAGCCCTGAGCTGCCTTGCTCCCTCCGCTTCAGCCCCTTCACCCCCACCACCTGCCCGTGCCCTGCAGGCCGCTGTGCCCCCATGAAGAGCATCTCCAGCAGCCTCAAGGAGACCATGAACCCACACGACATCGTGCAGGATGCCATTCACAACTTCTCGCCCGCCTACCAGCAGTACACGCAGCAGTCCACCCTGGAGCCCGGACCCACCTGGCGTGGCAGTGCCCACGGCCTCTCACGCTCCCACAGTGTCGGAGGCGCCCGAGACAATGAGAAGACACTCCTGCTCAGCTCCGATGACGAGTTCTAGGTGTGGCCGCTGTGGAGAGGCTCAGCACCTTGGCCAGAGGGCAGGCTGGCACAGCGTTGGCATTGCCCTTTAATTTATTGGACCAGAACACTCGTGTATTTCTTCCAGAGGAACAGCCGGTCACTGTCTGCCCAGGGGACAGCCCAGGCCCACCCTCGAGCCTTCAGGAATATTTCTACAAGGCCAAGACTGCACTGCCCGGGCGAGGGGCACAGGACGCTGGGAGTGACTCTCATGCCCTTGCTGCTCGTCCCATGGTGGTGGCATATTGGGACCAGCGGCCACAGTCCTCTCAGGCCTGTCCCCCAGGTCATTGCCCTCCCCCATGAGACTTACAGCCCCACCCCTAACACCGTGCAATACACAACCCTGGCTCTTCCCGCCTGCCCCCTCCCCTGTCCACCCTTGTCCAGAGCTAGATTAGCCTCACCCCGGGCAGGAGGCGGGAGGAGGGAACGCGAAGCTCTCCGCGGACCCCCTCCCGACCCAGGCCTGCCTGGCATGCTGCAAGGATCAGAGCCAGACACCAAGAGCCATGGGTCCCACGAGGAAGGGTGCTCAGGTGCCTCTGGGCCCCTCTTCTGTCGATGAAGCCTCTCCAAGCGGGGTCCCTGGGCCCCTGGGTGTCCTTTCTGTGGCTGTACTTCTGCCTGCCTCATGCCCTCTCTTCCTGGCATGCTGAGGACAGCTAGCAGCCCACACTGCCCCGTCACTTGGGGTCTTTCTTGAGAGCATTTTTGGGCAGAGCCCTTGCTTCCTGGCTGCTCAGAGGGTCAGGGGCTCCCACCCTCCTTCCCAGGCTGAGCTACCAGAACCTCTCCTGGGTCCTATCCCTCCCTGGGGCTGCTCCCTTCCATTTCAGGGGAAGAGTCTGAGTCTTCATGTTTCAGACCAGCTTCCAAGGAGGATGGAGGGCTGGGGCATGCAGCAGGGGGCTGGGATGGGGGTGGGCGGGGTGGGGGGAGAAGTGGTCCCAGGCTCCTCTCCCTGTCCCCATTCCCCCATGGGGCCTGGTGTCCTGCCTCATCTGTCTCCGCAGCCCATCTCTTCTGTGCCTTAGTCACATATGAAAGCCCCCCCTCTGAAGTCCCTCAGTCTGTCCCAGACACTCCCTGGGGACTCTCTGTTAAGCTGCTGGCACTCAGAGCATTCTGCAGTGCTGGGCCAGGCGCCCTTGGACAGGCCTTAGGGGTGACCAGGACCACCAGTCCCCTCCCCTCACCCACCTCCACACCCATATACCTAGAGCCTCCTAGGGCCGGAGCCCCCAGAAAGGCTGGGCTTGCACTGGCCATTATCTTAGGAAGAGCCTCGAGGTGGACATGATGCTCATTCATACCGCAGTGTCCTGTCTGAGAGCAAACACTCGGGTTTGGGCGCAGCAGCCTGGGGAAGGGGTGGGGTGAGGGGTTAGGGCCCTGCTCTGGCGTCAGCTTCACCGTGGAATCTTCTGCTCATTCCTGGAGTGAACTGTGCCGAGGGTTGAGTGGGGGGGGTTGCATCCCTAAGTTGTCCTTCTGGGCACTTGGCCCTTATGACCAAGCCGGCCCTCGGGGGCACAGAAGCCTGTTTGTAGGGTACTGAAGGGTAGCTCTCCAGCCCCTGTCCAGTGGTCCTGGTACCAGGCTGCCCAGGAAGGCGGCGGGTAGCTGCAGGCTGTCTAAAGATGACCTCCGTACCCGTTCCCACCATTTTCTTTCACGAATCTCTTTCTCTGATTCTCCTTCCAGGCCAAAGTGTGCAGCTGACTCCCTGCCCCCAGTCTCTGCCGCCCTGGCACTTGCCCTATAGCTCAGTGGCAGGGAGCCAGTGGCCCCTGGGGAGGTGGGGGCCGGGGGCTGGGAACTCATGCCTGACCAAGCCACCCCTCCTTCCTAGGATGCGTAACCTACCTTGTCTTTTTTTTTTTTTTTTTTTCCTGATAGAGTAGCTCTTTGTATATAAAAAATACTTGAAAAATTAATTGTATGATGTATGAGAAGACAGAGTCCCCTAGTTTTGTATCTTGTGTATGACTGCCATGAGTTCCATCAGAAAGTCGCTCTATTTTGGTCTCTGACATTTTAAATGCGTGACAGAAGTGAGCAAATAAAGTGAGAAAGATATATATGAGATCATATAGATTGTATTGAAATCTCTGCCTGTGGGTGAGGTTTTTTCCTTCTCGCCATCCCCGTGGATGTGTTGGGGGGTGGGTCTCATGGTTGTGGGTGGGGATGTCTTAGGAAACCCTCATCCTTGTAAGGTGATGGGAGGATTCACACTGCCAGAGACTAGAATTGCAGTTCACTGGATAAAAAGCCTTCCCCTCTCCTGGCCAAAGGGATGTGCTAGCCTTGGTCACAGTGGGTTGATGCATCTTTGTCCGTTTGTCAACCAGATAGATGGGGCTAGCCCACCGGCAACCCGCTTCCTGCAGGCATCTTTCAGGGGGTTGAAGAGATTTCCTGGGGTCCTCACTCCTTCCAAGCTATCTCCCCGCTGGGCAGTAGGGCACTTCACCCTTACACCGGGCCGGGCGTCTGGGTGTCTGACCGTGCAGGGCACCTGCCCACTGCCACCTCCACATGCCTTCTCAGGGCCTGGCCTGGGGCCCGGCTGCACTGACATGGGCACTCAGGAATGTGGCGGGGGCGGGGGAAATTCCCAGCCTCAGCTCAGGCCCGGAGTTTCCGGCTGCCTTCTCCTCAGGCCTGAGCTCAGCATCTCAGGATTAGGGGTCAGGATGGCGTGGGGTGGGAAGGGGCCGGGGGGAGTGCCGCAACCTGAGGGGGAAAAGGCCAAGCCGACCCATGTGGTTTGGCCCTTCCCCAACTCGCACACCCTGCACCTTCTCACAGCACCATCTCCATGCCCACAGCCGCTACGCAGAACCCTTCTCTGCAGGCTTGTGCGCTCTCGTAAGGGTTTACTCTGCATGTTCAAGCTTGCAGCCCCCAAGGTTCCCAGTGCTTGTCATACCTACGCCCTGAGTACCTTCCCTGGACAGATGGGTAAACTGAGGCTGCAAGGAGTTTAAAAAAAGTCATCCAAGGTCACGTGACTGGAAAAATGCACACCTGGATTCAAACCCCTATTTCCCTGACCGGGACGGTCACTCAGTCCTTCTCAGGGTGTCCCAGAAGGGCTGAGCAGACAGATCACAGTGCGTTTGGGGCCTCCAGTGAGACGAGGGTTGCGTTTCGGGCCTGTCGGCTGGAACTGAGAAACCGACTTCTCTCCGCACCTCCCTGTGCCTTCCAGAACATGAGGAAAGTATTTTCTACTTGGCTGTGGAAAATCAGCCCATGATGTGAAAGTGCTGGAAAGATTATTCTTCAATCCGGGAATTTTCCTCTCGGCGGGACTGTTTACTCAATGAAAGGATGCCCAGACAATTTAACCCTACATTTCATTGTCCTCCCAGCTTTGCCTTCCCCAGGGAGGATCCTTGGCTCCAGGAACCCAGATGGAAGGACAGATGTTTCGGCACTGCCTTTCTGGGTCCCTGCCTCCACCCCACCCCCAGCCCATGTAAGAGCTAGTGATGGTGCATAGTTTCGGTATCTGAAAATTGGGGCTAACCTTACCACCCAGCAGAGGGTCCTGCCTGGGGTTAAAAGCAGGACCTTCTTAGGCCTCTCATTCAGAAACACTCACCCCCCCAAAAAACAGCTCGGGACATACATTTCTTTACTGTAGATAAAGAGAACTTGACTTTATTTAGAAAGTCTACAAAATACAGAAGGCGGATAACTCGCTTACTGTAAGTCAGAAAATAAATAAATTCTGGGGGCCAGGCAATTTTTTATAAAACATTTTTTGGTTGTTGTTGCCATCTGGCTTTCCCTAAATATAAGATAAAATGTGATTTATTTGCAGATATAAAATATAAAGTCCAGTTCAGGGCCACACACCACTTTTCCTAGGGAGTAGGTGCCAGGGCTCTGTCTGGGGAGAATAACTTAGATTCGTGCAATAAATAAACAGCAGGGGTGGGCAGCTGTATACCGTTTCGGGGGACAGGTGGGGTTAGGCTTCCCAGGATAACAGGCAACAATCAATGGCAGTAGTCGGCCCCCACCCCACAGTGGACAGACTGGGGAGACGTGGTACCCCTCCCTTTTAAGGATCCCCACCCCAGGCTGCAGGACTACAGGATCTGTCTTCTCATCTCCCAACCTGCCACAGTGGTCACCTCCTTTGTCCCCTTTCTCTTTATCCGGCCAGCTCCTCCCTCTCTTCCTGCATCACCTTCTCTCTCCCTCTGCTTTCCCCCTGACTCACAGAGTCATCTCCCAGGCCAGGGAGATCCTTCCACCCTTTTTCAGTCTCTGTCCACTGTCCCCCTGACAACCATGGCTGGAGTCTCGCGGCAGCAGTGGGAAGACTTGGCTTTTAGTTCCAGCTCGATCACTAAGCATATGTGGCCTTGGGCACTGTCCCACCCATCAGAGGCCTGTTCCCCGCCCCGCTGGTTAACTGGGTTTCACTAGGAAATTTCTCACGACTCTCCCAGTTGTGGAAGGCCACGCACCCCCATGCCCAAAGCAGAGGCAGGAGCATCAGCTTCCCAGTCGGACAGTCTCACAGGACACACACAGGGCCAAAGCTAGTCCTGAATCTCAGGAGGGCAGGGAGGGGCCATTGGCACAAAATGGCACAAAAAGCAGTCTACGAAATTAGGGTGGCCCTCTTCTCCTCGATGGCTCTCCTCTAACCCGCTCTGCGTCCCATCCTCCCAATCTAAGAAAGCTGAAATTTCAGCCCAGGGAGACCCCAGACCCCAACCCCATCCTACCTCCGATCTCACCAACGTTGCCCCCTCCTACGGGCCATGATTTCCCAGTTGCAGGGGTGGGACAGTGAAGACGGGATCCAGGCAGAGAACGTGTGATCACCACCAGGGCTGGTGGCTGCAGAGAAATGGCACCCGGGGACAGAGGTCGCGCTTGGGCACTTAGGGAAGGAATCTGGGGTCGGAGGGGCATGGTTTTGTGAATGGGGTGTGACCGTGGCGCGGCAGGCACTAGGAGCAGGCGGCGGGGGCTGGGCCGGGCGCGGGGCCGGGCGCGGGGCCCGGGCT